ACCCAGTCAGACAAAAATTTTGAAAAACGCGTTTAAACGCACAATCGGGAACCGCGATTGTAAGCCATTAACGCTCATTAAAAAAACGCACGAAAACGCGTTTATTGGCGTTTTTTGTAACTTTATGGGCGTTAAAACGGCGAAAACTCCAATTTTTGAGCGTTAAAACGTATTGTTTTTAAGCTGTAGAATAACAGTGCGTTTTAACGCTCAAAAACTGGAATTTTCGCCGTTTTAACGCCCATAAAGTTACAAAAAACGCCAATAAATGCGTTTTCGTGCGTTTCTTTTAATGAGCGTTAATGGCTTACAATCGCGGTTCCCGATTGTGCGTTTAAACGCGTTTTTCAAAATTATTGTCTGACTGGGAAAAGCTTTCAGCTGTATAACTCGCGTGTCTTCTCATTTGCGAACATAAAAACGAAATTCAAAATCTGTTAAATTCAATTTCAGTTGTTTTTTAAATATAAATTTATTCAGATTGAAAATAATCTTAGGTCTCAAATTTTCGGTTTTCAAATTTCAAAAAAATTACTGACAACAATTTTAATACGGCTTAAACTTTCAGTTATATTTTTGAACTTGCTGAAATTTTTAGAGTTCGCTAAATATTGAGTTTCATTATTTTAATTTAACTAGCTGTAATTTGTAGAGTGCGCTAAAATATAGTAGTGTTTTTTTTATTCTTAATTGACTGCAATTTATAGAGTTCACCGGACATATTTGTTACTATGAATGCCATCAGCTGTTTTTGATTTCGAACAGACCATATACTTATGATTATAAAATGGAATCAAACGTTGAGTGGAGACAACTGATTGGGATGCAAAAGCATTTATACATAGAAATCAAAAATACAAAAATGATTTTCAGAAAAAGACGGCTTAGAAATATAGATATTGATGAGCGTCTTCTCTTGACAACCACAGCTCGATCCGCCCACACCACATTCGGAACAAATATCGGTTATCACAACAAATTATGTTTACAATCTCCTTAAAAAATCGCTTTGTCTTTAACTAAAATTGTTCTTAGTTCAGTACAAATCGACGATCCTTGCTCGTGCATTATGAGTGTTAGTTTATCAATAACAAAAGAAAAATCAACCAGCTAGTACATTCTACTTTTGACTTCTATTAAAATTCTTCGCAGCTAGGTCCAAACAAAAATCTTAATTCAACCAAAACCTAACGTCCTCTACAAATTATAGCAATAGTACGAAATTTAAATAATTTCTCTGATCAAAAACTTACGCCCTCTACAAATTGCAGTAACTATCTGAAGCTTAAAAAGTTTCTATTGTCAAAGAACTAACGTCCTCTACAATTGCAGCATGCTTAGTAAAAAAAATAACTTTCTTTTAAAAACTTTTCAAACAATTTACTTTCAATGTTCGCTCGTAGGAATCAAATTTTCAAAAGTTAAATATAAATTATAATCGTTTTACGAAAAATTAAGAAAATTATGAAATTTTAGTTTACTTAAAATTTATGTTCTTTATGTTCGCAAATAAGAAGTAGTCGTATGCTCGTACTTCGAAGTCAGAGTGCAAAATTTCGACCATTCCACCGATTTCTAGAGACTTGTTGGAAACCTCACAGTCACGTAGCAATCGACAGGAATGCCTTAAGAAACTTGAGAAAATAGAGAAATGTATCAGGTTGACAGCTGAAAATTTCAAGAGACATGTGGATCGTTGAGAGTCAGGACAAGGAAACTCTGTTCTCACAAACATGGATGATAGTAATGGTACAGGATTCGTCATCACTCAGTCATTTAGCAGGATATGAGCGAAGAGTTTCAAGTGGTATTGCAAGTCATGAAAATGACAGCGATGCATGTGTCCAGCTCAAGATGAACATTGCTAGACACTGCAAAATTATATGCTATAATGAAATCAAAAAGTGGCAGATCGCTCGCTCATTCGACTAAGTGTTTGCAAAAAGTATTATATTCCGTTCAAATGCTCGAGACTTATACTAATATCCTTAGGATTATAAAGGCAGATGTATAAGAAGAGAGAAGTCGAATGTAATCCATCAAAATATGTTCGTGATGGAAAACCGCTGCGGGCAAATGATGAATGCGTTTCGTTGATAGTAAAAACTTTTGAAGTGCTTACAATGCGAAAAAGTTAGAAGCATTTTACTCCACTCATTCATTTGTCAAGATAACGAAAATCTCCGTCAAACCATAAAGATGTGTATCAGAACATTGCGATAAGTTTGAAACATTCGGTGTTCTGTAGAAAGTACCGCGAAAATTTTCTAGCCAGCTATCAGTATATTTTCGTAACGATGAAAATTTGCCAGCAAGAGAGAAACGTGTTATCAAGGTGAAATAAACTCAGAGAATCTGCTCAAGTCTTGAGGTAGATCCGATGGCCTTCAGGCTATCAACGAATTTATTTTAGGGGCAGCAGAAGCTTTTGCACGAAAGATGAATGCTTGAGTGGAGCCGAAAAAAAATCTGCAGTGTATCTACTGAATGAGTTTGCATGCAAGCGAAAACATTACAATTGCGAAGGAATTCATGAGAGAGAGATCAAAAAGCTTGTGAGTCGTGCCATTTGTGAAAGTGCGAGCAAAAGACCTCAGCCTTCAAGGATTACCAGTGCATGAGAACGAAAGCTTTACGATTACAGAGAAAGTACTGGAAAGACGAGCTAAAAGCTTTAGAAGCCGGCCATGTTCGAAAGTAGCCACACAATGCTTCAGGCTATCAATCCAGGTCCCTGAGTGGCAGCCACAAGCATTAGGAACACTGAACAATGTGCGAAAGAAAGATAAAAAAGATTCATAATAGCTCTTATATATGTGCACAGTGTCGAGAGGCTTCATTCTTTGATGAATGAATGTAAATGGAGAGCCAAAGCTTTTACGTGTCAGACAAACACTTAGAGGCGACAGTCAAATTTTTAGGGTACTGATTCATCTCTCTGGACGACGTCCAAAAATTCGTGATCTCAAAGAAATAAGTGAGACGAAAAGCAATTAGTTTCAGAAAAATGACTCTAGCTGTCATGTGGACATCGGAGTGTATGAAAGCCTTCACCCACACCCACACCCACACCCACACCCACAGAAACACCAGTACCAAACCACTAATATCCCTCATGCTCATTCATAAAAATGTCACACCCGCCAAGTTTCATACCAATACTATCATACTGAAACTCCCATCCTAAATCCCCAAGACAACAACGTCCAGCATATATACCCCACGTTCACAACTTTTTTACAATAATGTTCTATAGAAAAGTAAACCAGAATTTTTTTAATCAATTATTCCGAATTCATAACAATCGTACTTTCATCAAAGTTCAACACCAAATAACAACTGTCCGTGATGAATCGTTTTGGTGATATTGATGTTTCGTTTACAAGACTGCCTCCTGTTTATGGTTATCATGCTGAAAAACTGGTTCCAATTGAAAAAGCACTTGAGCCTATCGAACCTCAAATTAATGAACTGCCTCGTTTTGTGAAGATAGCTAAACGATATTGTCATTTCCCATCAGAACACGAATTAACACATGATGAATCAGCTGCTATTTATATCTATACAATGGAATGGGGTGACACTTCTTTGTATCGTGTGTTAAATCAAGCATTACGATCTGAAAACCGGCAAGCATTAAAGATATGGTTTTCATATTTAAAACTGTTTCATACAGCGTTGGATAAGTTACCTACTGTCAAAGGGGCAGTATGGAGAGGTGTACCTCTTGATATTGGCCAGAAGTTCATAAAAAATCAAACTGTTACTTGGTGGAGTATTAATTCTTGTTCCTCCTCAGTAAAAGTTATTGAAAATTTCATCGGCAACGGCGAAAATGCAACTCTCTTTTTAATTGAAGCTATTCACGGGAAAAAATTTTCTGGCTACACAGAACATGAAAGTGAAGATGAAATTATTTTACCAATCGGTTCACAATTTCGCGTGAATAGCGATGTTTTAAAGCAATCGAATGGTTCACATATTGTACATTTAATTGAAATTGATGACGACATTGATCATCCATTACCACCGGGTAAGCTATTTATACTTTTTCTCAATGAAATAAGGCTTCTGTATGATACATACGTGTAAAATAATCAAAAGCATGTCTTACTACTGATTAGTGTGTATATGATAAAGAAAGAAATCAGTTAATTGTGCAACAATTTTGAATTACTAAAGAAAAAGTTCTAATAACAAAAGTCCAACAAATGCAAAAGAATCTTTGCTTATTTTTGAATGAAATATTGCTTATGAATTGTTTTCATCAATAAAATATAGAAAATCACGTGTGTTGTCAAAGCGTACTCGGATTAGGTCTGGGTTTTGTCAAAAAAAGACAGTCTCAAATCATGTCAAATCTAGTAATTCTATCATATCTGTCTCCTCAAAATTTTTATTTTTAACAGGCTTTCACGACATCCGCACTGAAAAAGAAGTTGTCATACGGAACCTTTTGTTGCAAAAAATGGGAACGCTCAGAAAGGGTCTCGTAAAAATTTAAGACATCTTGAAAATGATTGTCAACGGTAAAGGAAACTTTTTTCATAAGTTTCCTAGATTGCTTACGAAACCTTTTATTTCGGGTTCGAAACCTAAAAAGATTTCATAGTAAGTGCGAAACCCCTTGCTGGTTCCATATGGCACCGTTTTTTTTCAGTGTTGGTGAGAGTTAACAGAATTCTCTTGACCATCACTCTCAGCCTTTCACCAATATAGTCATTCTTACCCATCGAGGATGTTGGTGTGGGTGTGAGTCTTGGTGCCATCCTTATCCACATCCACCCTCCGCTCCATAGAGCTACAGGTGCCTTTGAATTTGATTTCACGACATTTTTTTTAGCAGTTTTCTTTGAAAGATTAATATTTTTGTCTCATCTGTACTCCTTCAACAATCCCTGGATCTACCACGGGTGTGTATTATTTCAAGTTTCGCATACAATATTTTTCTATTGATGAACCGCAGCAAGGATCATTAGTTTAGACACAATACATGAGATAAAACAAATATTCGTCTCTCTATCAGATCAGGACAGCTTAATTATGTTACAAATCAATTGATTGATAGATACGATAGAAATTAATGTACAGCTACATGTTACAAGTTAGCTTATAATAAAGTTAATTTGCATAATTGTACAGACGAAATGTTTATTTTATCATCATTGTTGTTGCTATTGTTAAAGAGAGTTATTTCTCGAAATGCCGAACAAGTACACACACGAAGCTCTTGCCGATGCCGTAGCGAGCGAACGTGACTCTAAAACAGGTGCAATCATGTTCAATATTCCTGCCACGGTATGGGTGTGAACGAAATGAAGGCATACATTAAAATTCACACTCGAACATCGGCATATGACTGAAACTTGGATGTGTGAGTTGTGGTTTCTTTCGTTGAACTCGTGCGAAATATTAGTTCCCTGACATAAAGAAATTACACAAAATAGTAATGCAAAAATCTGCTGCCCTTTGTATGTGCATATGGGTCTTCAGTTGAGCTACATTTTTTTCAGCTGTTGGACAAAATTCTATACTTAATGTAGCGCCAGCATCTTTTCCTCTTATCATGAACACCTTCTCATGCACTTTCTATTATATGATGAAATTACAAGAGAAGAACAACTGTAGTGATGGGGGTACTGTACTTGCCCAAATTACATCATATGCAAATTTCGAATACACCCCAAAAAACACCATGTAGATATCACATGATTGAGATGGAAAACATATCAATCGATAGAGCCCACAGTGACCAATCGGATAAGATGAGTTTCAATTGCCAAAATTAAGATTTTGCGACCCAAAATGTTTTTGTACGACAACGCTATGCATTTTGACTGGAAGAGGTGTGAGTGTAAGTGTGTTGAAGAAGGAAAAGTCTACGCCGACAGCTGCGTCCATACTCCTCTACCTGGAACTATAGAAAATGATAGAACGGAGGAAAATGGATTATTTACAAAACATCTCCTAATATACATTCAAGCGCTTAATTAAGATATTTGATTGATATTAGTTGATGTCACCGCAGGAGTAAAGAAGAAATCAAATGCAATATAAATTCCATCTCTGAGTGGTATATTGCCTGCGAGGGAAATATATTTGAACGCAATTCATAAGTGGTAGGTTTTATCTCAGCTACCACCTGCTTGTCAAAAAATGTCATGCAGTGAAAACGAAGTCTAGCAGTCAAACACTGTTTTGAGGATGGATAATGATAGCTGTGAACATGAATGAGCATAGTGCGCACGGTTGCTAGCTCTTCGAGTCTTACTTTGTCGAGCATAGGAAACTATCAGTCCTTGGAAGTTCTTAATACACTTTTTTTAGATCCACCAAAGAAAGTGAGTTTAAGTGGTTCATTTGCCATGCGATTTTCGATGAACACGGTAACTGGGACTCTTTTATTGGAAGTGATACAAAAGGTAAACACAAAAATTATGAAAATGGTTCATTTTTCATGTGATCTTTCATAAATACAATAATAGGACATGATGCTTTAAATTTAACAAAAGTGAAAGAACAAATTCTTTGTAGTTACAATTCTTGTGCCAAGTAATCGACAATCATTTGACGCAATCAGTAACGTCTTGTTTGAAATGAACAAAATAGATGAATAAGAAACTAATGGTAATCATGACCATTCATTTTTCATGCGACCTACAGTCAGCTTACTAACTCGATATCTTTTCTTCGAAATAACTGCAATAGGTAAAAAGACTATGCTGATAATTATTCCTTTACTACGTGACGACCGATGAAATTACCTTACAGAAATTTCAGCTTTGAAGTGAATAGGAAAAGTGAATATAACCCTTGCAACAGTTGTGATAGGTATCATTTGCTCTGCGATCGTCTAGCAACTAACAAATACAAAACCTTTTCTTTGAAATGAATTAAATAGATGAAAAGATCTGTGGTAAATGTCATTATCATTGTTCATCCATCACGTAATATCTCATCAAATCGTCAATACAACACCTTTGCTTCACAGTTAATCAAACAGTTGTATTAAACTTTGATTATTAATGTTCGTTGGTAAGTGCGATATTCGATCTGCTTCTTGAAACAGCAGTTTCACTTCAAAGCGTAGGGAATAAATGAACAAGTATCTTGGCGGCAGGTAAATGGTGAATGGATGATGATTATTTATTTACTATGTAATACTCAATCAACCTATCAAACCAAAATCCTTGCTGTTAAATGAACAACACAAACGGACAAATTTGACGTCGACAGTATTCATTTGGTATGTGATTTATAATTAGGTTACGAGTGCGAAAGATTTGCTTCAGAATTGACATAACAGGAGAACAGAGTGATGCTTACAATTTTTCACCTGCAATATAACTATCGATTTGGTAATCAATTTCGAAGCTTTATTTTTAAAACGAGCAGAAAATGTGGATAGAATTGTCCTTAAAACTATTTGATTAATATGTAACTTGAAATCACTTTACCAACATGAAGCTCGTCTATAGGAACGAAGAAAATACGTGAAGATACTATTGATTATAATAATTCATTCTGTCATGTAATCTTCGATTATTCCATCAACGTGAATTTAAGGTTTCAATATAGGCAACATCGATGAACATAACCTTGCTACATGTCGTTATGGGCTATTCAACAACTGCATTATTACTTTTTGATGATTTCAGTGCTTTTTCTTTGGTCATTAATTGTAAGGGTGTGGATATTTTACTTCTTCTAGAAACAGTATTAGGAACCGATCTCTGGGTGCGTGTGCCATATGGCTGTGGATGTGTTCATCTATAAGCGCACACCTAATATTGAGTAGGGATCATCGTAGTTTATACAAATTGAAGTCACACGGGTGACTGTAGTTTGGATCAATGTCGAAGATTCGTGAATGACCTTTACTAGAAGTTGAAGATACCTCTTTGAAAAAAAAGTAATTCTGTACTGTGCATACTACTCCACTAGAGATATAAATAACGACTCCACTTCCTAACACAAAATCCTCGATAGGTATACAAATTCATACACTCGAGTTTTCGGAATTTGGATTAAGATGCCTCTAATATATAAGAACTGTGAAAACATTCATACTAGGAAAAATGTCAGATTTTCTGAAACTTGACTATTTTCAGGTTTCGAATGATTCCCAGTCTTGCGCGTCTTCGGCATAAAAAGGCTTTGAAATTTTTAAAAACATTTAATTTACCTGCGTAATTAACCATATCGAGTTGTCTACGATAAGGTGAAAAAAATCCAATGTCAAATTTTGGCATCATG